ACAGATCGGGTTAAAAGCTATAAATAGGTACATCACCATTTGTATTCAAAAATAAATCTTAAAGAAGTGGGATCACACAAATGACGTTATGTATACAGGAAACAAAACATCAAAATCAAATAGCAGGTCATTAAATAAACTAAGTGAACAATGTGGCAGAAATAACCATTTTATTTCAACAGAACGAGAACTTTATAAACAATAAAAACAAAGACGGCTTTGTGTTTATGTTAAGTGTAAAAAAAGGTAATTTATATAACAATTATAATATAAGTAATATTGAAATTTTATCATTCTGGATTCTGGTTCTACACATCATAAACAATCAGAAAATATTCACGGCACATGAAAACCTTAACCCACCACTGCTAATTTCGGTTGTGAAAACTGGAACCTACACAAAGAGGGGAGTAATTGAAGTTACTGTAACCTGGGGCTTAATGGACGGCTAGAAGGTGTGATCTATTCCTAGGAAGTACCGTACAATCTCTTATCAGTCCATCGACTTCAGGAAAAAGGTATAAACAGGATGGGGTAACCATCAAAAATGGTAACAAAGTTTTTATAACAGGTAAGCCTATTTAAGACCTAAACAAGTAAAATTTCAAATACTTGTTTGCCAGAAAATTTACAGTAGTCTAAATGATAGTACAGAAGTTTATCCAATATGGCATCGACTTCTTGGACACATAACTAAAAAAAAATTACATACGATTGATAATTCAATCAATTCAAAGTATGTTGACAAAATATGCGAAGCTTCTATTTACGACAAACAAGCAAGGTTACCTTTAGTAAAATCAAGTCCAAAGATTACATACAAAAACCTTTATTCATTGTTCATTCTGACGTCTGTGGCTAACTCAAACCATCCACAATCGGCATTAAAAAGTATTTTGGATTATTCATAGACGAATTTACACATTACTCTGTTTTATATCTGATTACATATAAATCAGAAGTGCTAAACGCTATTAAAAATTGTACAGTTAAATGCAAAGCACAATTTGGTCTATTAGTTGCAAATCTATGTTACGATAATGGGGGTGAGTATTAGATTAGTGTAAGTAATTTTGCACAGGTAAGGGCATAACATACCATTTAACCATAAGCCATATGCCAGAACAAAATTCAGTGACTGAACTAATGAATAGAAGTATCACAAAAATTGTAAAGTAAACTCGGGTAAGGCCAAAAATTTAAATTTGACAAATTTGCGAGAATATATTTTACACGAGGAAAGGCAGGAGGTTCTAATAAAAGGCGCGTTTCAAACACAAACGAAATTTAGTTTTATGACTACTAAAACAAAAGAATATTCCACAGAATCCCCACCATGACTCACACGCATACTTTTCATTTCAAAACTGAAGAACATTTTAATCAAACTAGGTATTGGGAATTCTTTGGAACAGGTAAATCCACAGGTAAAGTTGAATGGACTCATATGTCACACTTGCTCGGAGCGGTCTTTTTTATTGAGTGATTTGGGGCTTTTAACGCATTGTTCAACAGTCAGCTAGTTTAACATATTCAATATTAACTTTATAGGTGTGTCACGCTCAATTTAGGATCGGAGCCTCCACCATATATGTCACGACGGTAATTTGTTACTTTGGACTTTTTGTTAATTATTTATTTTAATTACCTGATTATAATGCATCTTGATTATTTTGGCGTGACTGGGGGTAAGGTATTAAGATGATAAGAAAAAAAGCAAGCTTGAATAACAATAACTTATTATAAAAAAAATGATATGGAAAAATGAAGGAAAACGTTTATAAGAAAAAAAAAGGACCTTTCTCTCAACGTAGATCAATGCACCGAAAAAGTTGCGATCATTTTTCAGGAGGTAGTGTTACCAATACTTAGAGTTTCCCACTAGTTACTCTTTTAAGGGTAGACTTTTTCCCTTCGCGTTCCTTAGTCGACTGATTGCGATCACACCATCGATCCCCGTTCACACGCTAAACTTTTTAATGAATCAGTGATTACTTGTCCATAGTTCAACATGGGTTATTCACTGGTTCTACAAGTTTCTCTGGTTTAGCTGATTTAACGAAAACACTGACGAAGTCCTTTTTGATGACTTCGCGAAGTTCAGTGATTTTCACAAGGACCAGAACTGGCATCAATTTCTGCTTGTAAATAGATAATTTTTTTCGCTTACTGTTCGTTACTGTGGAATGTAAAATACGCTTATTTTGCAAGTAAATGAACTCGATATCTGTTTTATAAATTTGGAAAGAATATCAACGTTATAATTATGAAATATTTAATTAATTTTGAAATATGTTTTAAAGTATAAAATGGTTTTTTGAGTTTCCTTTAAGCTTCACTGCGTGATAAGTGTATATCTATGCCCCCCCCCCCCGAGTCATCACCTTGTCGCGGTGGGGGACCCAGTATCCATACACATGTTATAGCGAAGCTGAAGGACCCCCGGGCAGGTAACGGACACGGGCGAAGGTCCGGAAGCACCCGTCTGGTGTGCCAGAGAAAGCCGCGGAAACCCTGAGGGAAAATGTGCGGCAGCTTGCGTTCGAACGCAATGTAAGCCCAGCACAGACAAGGAAGGCTAACGCGGGGGTTTTGACTTTCCCCTAGCAAAAAAGCTTGCCGAGTAGAAAGAGAGGCTCTCCCGGCGCGGCTACCAACACCATTAGTGGCAATCGCAAGGGAACCTCGACAGGCGGCGAAAAGTCAGCGGTCCTCTGGGTAGCTGCCTCCCTACCCGTGTCCAAGACGAAGTAAGTGCCCTGGCAAAGGGGCGCATCAAGCGGTGGCACAGAGTAGAGTGTAACCTGACCCATTAGGGGGGTTACGACGTGAAGCATAGTGGAATGCCGGTCGTACGTGGATCGGGTATGTAGTCTGAACCTTTAAGGGGGGTGCACACTTGTGTGACGAAAGCAGAGTAGATGCGAGAAGCGTGGTAGCTCGGGCGAGCCAGGAGGCTAAAGGAGTAAGGTGATGACGACCGGAGAGCCTATACCGGTACCCGAGAGGCGAGGAGCCCACAGGAGTTTAGCTTTGATTCCTTCCCCGCCAATTGGTGTTGGACTCGAGGTGGCAGTTGGGTACAGCCGGCATGCTGGGTTAGACGCTGTGCAGCAGATCGCTCGGTTCGTTGTGTAGTCCCTGCATTGAACGCTTAAGGGTGTAGATAGGCCTGAAGTTGGGGATTACTCGCCTCGTTAACCCTTCATTAGTTGTGTAGCCACTCTCTGTAGTCATATATGATGAGGGATGTGACTATCAAAGTTGTGGTTCTGAGAAGAACCGATTTCGTAATACCGTTGGACACATTATCTGCATCTTTGATGATCCCAAGGGTTGACACTTTATCAGCATCAGAATAAGAGTGAGCCTGGTGTTAGACTAATTTTATTTCAATATTTACAGAGTATTTATACTAAATTATTTACATGGTATTATACGGTAAGGAATATTTCAGCACATTACATTTGTGTNTCATTAAATTTATTTTTAGTTTATTCTACCATAACTAATTATTGAGAATTTCGAGCTCCTTATTTAATATATTAGATATTTCCACAAAATTATTTCTGGCCATATGACGGTTTCCATTATTTCGCGAACGAGAACGCGAACGTATTCGCGGATGTCGGGGAACGTATTCTCGTTGAAGGTTACTTACGGCTGCGATTTCTTGACTAAGGGCCTTATCCATTTCGTTTATTCTTTCAGTGAGCAGGGAATTAAATCGGTCCACCAAAATCTCTACAGGAGCATTGTTCTGGAGTTGGCAAATCTGCGGCTTTGGTGCTGTTGCGTCTAAAATTGCATCGGCTAATTCGGCTAATTTGTCCAATGTTGCTTCACTTTGGGTGGCTAGAATAGCTCGACTTGCCTGAGGTAGACGTGACAACCATAAGGGTCGGAGGATGCTATCTGGTACTGCAACTCCTACGAGACTACGAAGATGGCGTAAAAATTGCGTTGGCTTGCGATCACCTATTTCTTCGTGCTCGAGCAGACGTTTGGTCTTCTGTTCTTTCGACGAACTCAACCTTCGAATAAGTTGTTCTTGAATTGTTGTATATTTACCAACTGCAGGTGGATTAATGATTATGTTCTAAATTGCTAATAACGTAGTTGTACTTGGTTTCGTCGGATGTTAAATGAGAAGCAGAAAATTGCGCTTCTATTTGATGGAACCAAATTTCCGGGTCTTCTGCCCAAAATGGAGGTAATCGCACAGCTACGCGATCGATGCTTGGAGAGGCTTGTTGATTGTAGAGAGCCATGTTTTTTAACCAACTACTTTGGCGACACAAAATAGTTAATAATCGAAAATAACTAACTCACGACGACACTTGTATTTCGCACACAGTTTGTCCTCAAAAAAAATTGTTTTAATCACGTCGGCGTCACCAAATATGAGGGGATAGACTGGCGCGAAAATACAGAGAATAAAAACGCTTTTAATAACTTTATTTAATACCACAACAAGGCAGATGAGAACAGCAAAAGCGAGGGTATCGTACTGGCTGCAAAATTCGAACCTTATCGACTATATTATACAAAATGGTATGTTGCTGTTCAGGTACCTGCATTTCTCAGTATTAGTGGTACGCATACCCCGACCTGAAGGGTCTGTGCACCCGACCACTGATGTACAAAATTTCCAACCATTCAAGATGTTTCTGAGAAAGTTAAAATATAGAAATTTATATTTTTGCTGCTACAGTTATCATTCAATGCTTTATAAACCGGATCTTTTATTTGTACACATTGAGCATGGTAGCTTTGAAAACATAGTTTACACTTAATACCCTTAGTATTAACAACTAAATTTTTAGACCATAGGAAAACACGCGTGCACACCCGACGAGCTCATGATCAAAATATTTTTAAGTTAGCTAAGTCCTTAACATTTATAACAAGAAAAGAAGATACAAAAGATTCATAAAAGTTGAATGTTGGTTTGATACATATGAAGATGATGAATGATAAAAGATATAACATGTCACGTCCTATCTAATCGTCGATGTTAACTTAGTGACAGGTTCGAATTCGCGCTCAACCTTGTCTGGTGGCCACAGATCTGGCGAACACTTCCTATTAACCTTCGAGGTAGTGGCCACCGATTCGACACGCGGAACCAGCGTTTGCACTGGCGACTTTATCCGAAGAATCAGCGTATCAACATCCAAGAGGAACTCGCCAGGTATACGAAGCTCTGTTCCAAACATGAGTTGAGCTGGTGATGCATTAAAATCTTCCTTAAAGCGTGACTATTGGAGATTGCCAAGATTTAGGAACACCACACATTAAGGCGGCTTTAAGAGTTCTGCGGCATTTCTATTTGACTGATGGTGTATGGTGTAGTGTATTTGCGTAGAGCACCAACCATGTGCGTAAGAGACTTGAACAGTCTTGACTCAAACTGAGTACCCTGGTCGGTGGTAATCGTGAGAGGAGTACCAAACTGCGCGACCCAATAGTTGAAAAAAGCAGATGCAATGGTATCGGCTTGAATGTTGGGTAGAGGCACTGCAACAGGCCAACGAAAGAAACGGTCTATCATAGTCAGACAATAACGAAAACCGTTGACCTCTATAAGTTCTATGATGTCTAAATAGACGTGATCAAAGCAATTGTCTGGAATATCGATATGTCGCGAATCAATGCGGTTGTGTCTTTTAATTTTGAAGCGCTGGCAAGCGATGGACTCCCTGGACCATTGGAGAACATAACGTTTAATCCAAGGCCAAACGAACTTCTCCTTCAATTGACGAGCTGTGGTGCGGCGACTGGGATGAGAAGGACCGTGAAAAACGTTGACAGCTTGTTTACAAACAGGTTTAGGTTAGTAGAAGTTTCAGAGTACGGTCGTCGTTTAATAGATTCTGAAGCTCTTGATCGAGTTGTTGGACGTTTTCAGTCATATGAAAATCTAGTGTTGTGGGCATGTTGATGGCGTTAACTCTCGACAGGCCATCCGCAAAAACATTCTCTTCTCCCTTTACATAAACAATCTCAGTGGTGAATTCAGAGATGAAGCTGAGTTGATTGCGCTGTCAAGGGGACGCTTTTCTTACTTTCTGAGCAAAAGCGTACCATAAGGGGCGATGATAAATCTTGATCACGAATGAGCGATCCTCCAGAATAAGCCGGAAGAATTTGATGCTGGAAAAGATACCAAGGAGCCCTGTGTCGTAGGTACTGTAACGAGTTTCAGTAGGGCTAAGTTTTCTAGAAAAAAAACCGAGAGGTTTCCCGATACCATCTTCGAATTGCTCTAATGAAGCACCAATTGCATGGTCGGAAGCGTCTGTAGTCGATAAATACTGAAAGTGACAAAACCACAGTAACAACGGGTGATGATATGTTGGACAGCGAAGGTAATAATTAAACATACCAAGAATGCGTCGGAGATCAGAAATAGTCTCAGGGGTTGGAAATTTCAGGATGGCTTCAACCTTCTCCGATGGAGCTGTGAATCCATTTTTGTCAAGATGATAACCCAGGTATAGAATATTTTCTTTTCCGAAGGAACACTTACTAGGATCAATAACCAGGTTACTCTCCTGCAAGATCTTAAAAATAACCTCCAAATGCTTGACATGCTCTTCGGGGGATTTGGAGAAAACAATTAAGTCATCAGTGAAACAAGTCTAAGTTACGACGATTGTTACCCATGTGACGTTGGAAGGTTTGGGTAGCATTTCTGAGACCAGGAGGCATCACGCAAAATTCAAACAGGCCGAATGGAGTTGTGATAGCGGTCTTGAAGATATCCTCATCAGCCACCGGAACTTGATAGTAGGCTTTCACGAGGTCAAAGGTTGAGAATGTTGAGCAACTATGACACTGGTGTAGTAAGTCATCGATTAATGAGATTGGGTAACTTCTGGTACTGTCTGTTTATTTAGGCGGCGATAATCAACTGTTGAGCGTTTGGACGCCATATGGATTGGACTTGCCCATTCACTACTCAAGGGTCTAATACTACCGTGCTGAACAAAAGATCGAAATCAGATTTAGTTTTTAAGTATTTCTCCCCTGTGAGACGTCTAGGACGTTCCGAAGCAGGGGGTCAAAAAAAAACAAGAAAAATTCCTGTTGAAGACTGTGAAGATGAACACATAACTACAGTTGTTGAAGATACCGAGCACCTTATTATCTGTCAGCCAGTTAATTAGCAAGAGAGGCATAATAACATTTGATGCGAAGCATTGTTATATTTATAACCAAAAGAATCAACTTGCAGCAACTGCAGTTTGATCGGAGGTGATTATAAGTTGAGAATCAAGCAAGTAGATTGTTTGTTGACTTCTGTCTCAGAGAGTGTGTGGAATAGAAGATTTGGTCATCTGAACAGCAAAGACCTCAATGTGATGAGACATGGAGCTGTAAAAGGAATGTCATACTTGAAAAAGGCTTAGGTCAGTAAAACGAACTGTTTTGTGTGTGCTATGAGGGAAAGCAGGCCAGGTTGCCTTTCAGTCATATTGGAAACAGAGGCAAGGAACTTCTCGATGTCGTACATGCAGATGTTTGTGGGCCAATGGAAACCAGATCAATTGGTATAAAGAAATACTTCTTGTTATTCGTCAATGACTATAGTCGGATGGCATTTGTATATTTCTTGAAGACGGGTAGGAAGCTGAAAGTGTTCAGGACAGACAATGGTACAATTCTGTGGAAAGGAATTTAAATAATTCTCAGAATTTGCTGGAATTGTCTATCAAAAAACTTGAGCATACACACCGGAACAGAACGGTCTCTGCGAGCGGTTTAAAAGTACAGTAATAGTGAAAGCGAAATGTTTTTTATTCGATGCAGAATTACCTAAGCGTTTTTGGGCAGAAGCAGTGAACACTGCGGTTAATTTACGAAACACGTCAATTGCATCAGGATTAGACAACAAAACGGCTATGGAGATCTGGACCGGAGCTATACCAGATGTCATTAATCTACGTATCTTTGGAAGTAAGGCCATGGTACACACATTAAATGAAAAAAGGTTAAAATTGGATAAAAAAGCGACTCTGTGTATTCTTGTTGGGTACTTAGACAATGTAAAAGGTTACCGAGTTTACAATCCCAACAATAATGGTATAACAACAGCAAGAGATATTGTTGCGATTGAGGAGGGGATTAAACAGAAGCAAGATATGATGCACTTTGACATTAGTGATGGCCCTGCTGACATCTTTCGGATGAAGGAAGAAAGAGCAAAATGCACCCAAGAAGTGGGGGACATGAAGCACATGAAAACATTGGAAGATCAGGAGAAGAAAGAAGTACTGAGCCCTGAAGGAGAAAGTTTAGGTACTGATGAAGAGACTCCACAAATATGCTGGGGTCTGAACCTGCGGAGCCTGTGCGGGGTCACATGTCTCAGCCAGAGCTTCCCGCCGAATTTCCAATGGAGAAGCGTATCCACAAGCAGCCTGATCTGTACGGTTTTGGTAATGTGTATGTAGGTGAAACCAGCGAAACAAATGCAAGTGAAATATCTCTAAATGAAACGTTGAATGGATCGGAAAGCGAACAGTGGATATTAGCCATGCAAAGTAAATTTAAATCATTTGAAGACAATGACGCTTGGGAATTAGTTGATGTTTCACCCAGTGGCACCATTGTACAATGTAGATGGGTTTTTAAGCGGAAACTTGATAACAATAATAAAGTTACAGTCCTTGGGTTATAAAAAATCTAAACTAGAAGCATGCCTGTTTACAAAAATTGGTAAATGTGTAAAGATCATTATTGCATTGTATGCTGATGATTTCTTTGTGTTTTCTAATAATGAAAAAGAAACTACTTTGTTGAGTGAAAGTTTGGCATCAAAGTTTAAAATAAAAGAATTTGGTTTGATTGTAAATAAAGAGAATCGTACTGTAACTTTAGACCAAGAAAAATATATTAAATAATTGCTGTTAAAATTCAATATTTCTGATTGTAAGTCTGCAGAAACGCCAATTGAACCAAGACTAAAAGTGAGAAATGTAACAATAAGTTTTCTTATCGGGAACTGATTGGTTCGCTTATGTATGTAGCTGTGCTCACGCGTCCTGATATTGTATTTTCTGTAAATTACTTGAGCCAGTTTAATAACTGTTACGATCAGGAACGTCGGGCCTATGCAAAGAGAGTTGTAATGTAATAAAGAAAACTAAATCTTTCTGTTTAGTGTTTTCAGCTACTGGTAATAGTCAATTAGAAGCTTTTGTAGATGTAAACTGGGCGAGTAATGTAATTGATTGGAGATCCTATGCTGGATATTTTTTCAGGTTGTCAAACTGTACAATATCTTGAGAAACCAAGAAACAGATTACTGTGGCATTGTCCAGTACGGAAGCCGAATATATGAGTATTTCGGAGAGTTGCAAAGAAGCTGTGTATTTGTGGAATTTATTGTTTGAATTAACTAACAAATATTATCCTACACCAATATTTAATGATAATTAGTCTTGAATGGGGCCTCAACTTCCGTGTTTAATGATTGTCGCACAAACAAAGATGCAAAGTGATCGGGTGCTTTAACATCCTCTGTGGAGGGAAATATGAGCGAAGGTTCGCTTCTTAAAGGGTATGGTGGAGGAAAAAACCCTTGCGGAAGGATTTTACGAATATCACTTCTTATATCACCACAGCATTCCTTATTAGTGCATTTTACAATTACTTAAAATTACTTTTAGATACCTAGGATTTTCGTCAGGGTCTCCATTGACTGAAAATATAACCACTGGTTATGAGGCAAAATCTGCAAACCCTAGGATTTGTAAACTGCGATTAACATCAGAATAATGGGTTTTTGCAGTATACGACGAGTGTTTTCCAGATCTGATTACAAAATATGTAGGACCACTGTAAGTGACAGCATGAGGTCTACCCATTCCTCACTTTTCTGTCCGCATTGCGCCATAAACAGACGGTATTAATTTATGACGCTCTGCAACACCCAATCGTGATCTGGAAGACGGATACGAGTATCGTAAATCGTCTTACGTGATAAATTAATGGCCCCTTAAGTGAGGGTGTAATAAATGAGTAACAAAATGTGAATAGTAGCGACACCTATGATCTCTCCGTTGTATCATTGTTTTTTAATAAACAGTCAGTCAGACACTCAGCGGAGCAGCGAATAGTGCTAGGACCGGCAGAGCACCATAGGGTTGGCGCATAGGTTTGAAGAAGCTAACGTCTAGCTCCTCCTGGAAGGTGGCTCCGTGCACTCTAGGCGTCGGGACACTGCGACGTTACGACCGTCCTTCTCAAGGCGGCGGGGTTGTTTACGGGAGGTAAAAGTAGCTTGTACAGCCACGTAGCTTTTCAAATATTGGTAGCTACTAGAGCTAGCGAGACCGGAGCAGATCTAATTTTGCCTATTTTTTTTTGTTTTCGTGGAGGAGACCAAATCTTCCAAAGACGCGTAGTTTACTTATTGATTTGTTTAATTGTTGGGCGAGTGTCAGCGCCGCCCAGTAATTGCAGTAGGATTTCGATGGGTGTAGTAGCATTTTTTAGTTGGTTTGCTAATTTTACTATCGGTGTTTTGATCTGTAGCAGGTCAATTTTCCGAAGGATATTGGTAGTCATTCCTGTTTAGTTGTCAAGTGGGTCGGGTTGACCTTGCGAAATGACTTTGACGTATGACAGTCCTTGTCTTACTGAGTTCCTTTTGTCGTTCCTTGGTTGTGGGTTAAGGTTTCGCTTTTTTTCCTTTCGTGAAAGCAGGATAGCTACCATAACTGGAAGGGTGTTCTCCTTTGCAATTTTTGCATACGGTCATTTCCTCTTTTAATTTCTAGCAATCTTTTGTCCTGTGAAGTTCTGCACACTTCACGCATCGTGGTGCTATTCTGCAATGCCGTTGAGTGTGTCCTATGGGCTGACAACAGTGGCATTGAGATGGTCCTCTTGGTTTTTTGTATTTTTCGATTTTAACTAAAGGTCGCAA